AGCATCAATACTCACGCCTCTTGAAAACAAATTACTAGTGTGGGCCTCCGCGTGGATACTATTTTGAAGGGTGGTGAAAAAGAGGCGTGAGGATGGAACGAAGAGGCGGGCATCGTCGATTTTCGATAATTCCCCATTAGAAGTCAGCTAAAGAATCGACTATTATGGTGTTCGTCGCGAACACCCTGTTAATCGATCCTTTCTTATAAATTTAGATGGCAGAGTAATCGATTTATCGCAAAACACGCCAAGCAACTCGAGGTGGAAGAGTGGCAGGGCGAATAAGTTTAGTCCGAATCGGCCGGACCCAATAATTTGTATTTATTACACGATGATTCTCGTATATATTCACTACACGCAGTGAAATAATGTGTCGATAGCCATCTAAATTCTGCAATTTTTTTTCGGTTTCGGAGCTATTGGAATTTTAGTTGCCGAAAGGGGTTTGCAGTATCAAGAGAAAATATTTTTAATTTGAAAGCGTTTCACGCGCAATATGTGGTAATTTTGAAGGTAAATTGTGGTAAACGGTGAACGTATCAGTTTTTCAAAAATAACACTCGGGTCTCGCTTGAACAGCGAGACATCATTCTTAGAAAGACATTAATTATGAAGAAATTTTAGTTTTAGTATATTTATTATTACATACAATTTTCATCCCCCATCCCTCAACTTTATGTGACGTCACAACCATAAGCGTATTTTTGGATATTTTCGGGTGTTTCCGCGGATATTTTCCAGATTATAGGAAGCGTGGGATTATTGTAATGTACCTATACTGCAACTTTTAAGGCCCGAATAAATAGAGAGATTCGCCTTTAGAGAATACGTAATTTTACAGAAAAACTAGGCAAACCTCAAATTCAGTGAAAATGACCACATGCATGACCACAAGCACCATGACAAAGCTAATACTAACTGATAGAAGCCATAATTTTTACGAAAAACTTTTGTCGAGGAGACCTAACTTGCTTGTCACACAATATGTTTATTTTCCTTTTCCCCCTTTAATTTGATTTTCTCGATGTAAGTAAGTGCCAGATTTCTATTTCATTCTCAGGACTATGCCGAGCAAAACCACAATCATTTGAAGTCATTCTAAATTAGACAATGGGGCACACATAAAGTTCCTTCAAGTCGCAGACAGACGAGCGAAGCGAATGAACTTCTGTACGATGAACTCATTTATTTAAACTTAAGAAAACGAGCTAATTTGCTAAACAGTGTTATTCTCGCTCTCATTAAAATCTCCAAATGAGCATCACATTAACAACAGCTTAGCTCCCAATTTGTGAGTACGAAAAGTTTCGCCCCAATCCCAACTTTCCCTCTGAGGCCTCTGCGGAGGCGGAGACTCAAGCAAGTGGAAAAATCATGAATGAATCACTCGTACTTTCATCGCACCATCCAACTACAACGTCACCAGTGGTGTGGCGTACTTTGCGATAGATCGATTGATACGCCACTCAAACCTAAGAAAAAAGATCGATTATCAGGGTGTTCGCAGCGAACACCTTAGTAAGTAATCGATTCTTTACCATAAAGTAGATATTTTTTTAAGAGCCAACTACAGATAAATTGAGAGCCCTCTGCAAATATTGTTTTTCAACTTACTCTCAAAGCAACTAATACTTTCTCTGCGAAACTTTTGGACGAAATCTGACCGACTCAATCGTGGGAATTTTTTCTTTCTTTTTGCGTGTATTTTATAGCGCAACCCTCGAAGTTGCTCCTTTAGCGTAAATATACATATAACCGATTGTGATGAAAACTATTCAATTTAATTTGGTGGAACTTTATACTTTTCATATCATGCACATGGCTGCTTTTTAAACATTTGAGGAAATTTAAAAATCTCCGGGAAAAGGGGCGCGTTAAGTCTATCGAAACCATTAGAATTTTATTCATGTGGTTATCAAACCATATTGAAACTAGTAAATTTTATGAAGCGCGTGAGGCTTTGTAGCCATTAATTTTCACTGATGGTAGCCGAAGGTCGTCCATGACGTCGGAATCAGTGTTGCCAATTTGAGATAATATCCATATTAATTGTAATATTTCCCCACTTTAATTGCTGTTACCTTCAAGCAAATCAACGATTACCAAGAGATGCAATTATTTTTGTAATTTCACAAGATTTGAGATCGAGGTTTCAAACTTCTTTCTAAGTTTGACTTTTGAGTAACTTTGGTTTGAGAGGTCATCGAGTAAGGTATTGAACTTGATGAGTTTTTTCTTGAACGTATAATTGAAATAGGATTTTGGAAAATTATTTTCTCAAAATTGCCCTCACCTTCCATACCTGTTTACTTAGACACTCATTTGGCAAATTGTAGAAAATTAGGCATCATTATTCCATCTGAACTTTGAGATCAATATAAACCTTGAACAGATCGGATCGAAAGTCACTTGAAAGGAAATTTTTCGCACTTTCAGAAAATTAAGTTCTGGTAAATTTAAATACATGAATTTCGAATCAAAATTATCTTTATAACGTCACACAAAGCTGCACGGAGGTTTTCAACTCATGTTTTCATTTTAAACATTTTTTGCACCGTTCGGACTCTCATGTAATCATGACAACTTTCAAAGGCAAGATTATGAACCAAGAGAAGTGTTCGAAATATCCCACTTGAATCGTAAAGATATCATTCAATATACAGGGTGATACAAAAGTCCCACGTTGCTGGCACCCGCCATCATCCCAGTAACTTGTGAACAAATTGAGATAGGGACTTGAAATTTCGTGTGTGCTTCTCGGTCAATGAAAACGACTTTTTACCCCTTTTTCAGGTGTTAGAACCCTTGGGGTTGGGGTAGTGCGAGACTTTTATGTCACTCTGTAAATCACAATATTATTATTTAGGCGCGACATATTCTCGAAAAATTCGGCGGGTTTTCGAGGGAGCCGAATTGGCAATAGGGCGGAGAATCAGTGGCGCGGCGGTACTCGAGGTGGGTTCAAAGGGGATACCCTGCAAAATATTGTTAATAGGGGGGCCAGGGTGGGGGTCGGCCTCACTCAATATTATTAAGATGTAGAGATATTAGACTCAGATGGGCGACGACTAGCTGCTGCATGAAAACAACACTTGCTCTAATGAAAAAGCGGCAATAATTCTTACCGACACCTTGGCCGAACACCCCCAGGCTTCAGGCTTACCAACCTCAGTTCCTTCGCCGCTCCGCGAAGCTCCTCGGGTTTCCCAACCCAAACCACGTTGCCACGCCTCCAAATCAAAATATCCTCAAAAGACGAGATAAAAAATGTCAAAATCTGTATAGATTGTATTAGAGGTGACGTCTCGTTTGAAAAAATTATCGATTTTGTTGAACTTAACCCGAAGCACTAGCATAATATCGTTCTATGTTACACCCATTAAAATATACCGATAGCTATCATAAAATGTAGGTCTTCATTGACGTGAGGGTGAATGGATCGTGTATCAAAAACATCCCAGTTTTAAATCAGTCATAAAAAGCAAAAATTAATAAGCAATAAGGATGCTATAATTTACTCAAAAAGTTTTGATGTTCTATAGAATGTTCTCAACCATTTATATATTATTCGCGTGCGGAATATTATTGAAATTATAACTCATGATTATTCCGCACTATATCTTATTGTTAGCTAATGCACGATTTAGACAGAGTCTGCACATCTTGCTATTTTTTTCTAATTTTGTCAAGAATTTTAGTTTATATTTTCTCACACAAATTGAATATATTTGGAGGAATGATGTTTTTAAAATTTTATGGAATTTTTAAAAAAAGAGAATTTGATTCCGGACTACTAACTGAAATCACTCTAGTGGTGAAAGAAAAATGTTGAAAATTGATAGACTTGATGGTAATTTACAGATGCAGTCGAATAATTTCTTACGACCTTTAATTTTCGAATCTCTCTAGATGAGAGAGTTAGAGGAGGAGCTGAGAGAATGAATTACACAAGAATTGATCAGTAATTTCACCGAGCTATTAATGTTCGGTTCTCCATTTTACCGGCGGGAATCCGGACTTAACTCGATAATTGACAACATCGCGCCGTACAAGAACCATTCTCAACACCCTAACACCTGCTAGTGTGTATTAAAATTGATAGCCGTTAACAACTAGCAGCACGGAGCTGCGGCCTGATTTGATTTATGAGCTTCGTCGTAATTATTTTACGTGAGAAGTCCAGGTACTCAGTGGACACTGAACTTTTCGTAGATGATTTGGACGCTTAGTAGTCAGGAGCATTCTGCCATGCTACGGAAAAACGCCGTATGAACATTCCACTGAAAAAAATAGTTCTGCTCACACGGCTCCTGCACTTCTTTTGCAACAGTCACAGAAGCTTCCGTTATGAGGACAGAGTACTCTGTTCCCACGGCCGAAGTTCTGTTCTCACAACAGAAAAATTCTGTAAAGTGGAACAAAGAAACTGCAGGAGCCCTGTGAACAAAAGGTTCCGTCGTTAGCACCATCTATTTTTTTCTGTGTCGAGAGTTGCCAAATTTCTTAAGATGAAATGTTTTCTCTTGAGGAAAATTATGCATAATTTTCCTTGAAATTTTCAGATAGTTAAGATAAAAAGCAAACAATTTTATCTAAAAAATTGGCAGAAAAATATTCACAATTTTCCCGGTAAATCCGTATTTTGAAAAAAAAAAAAAAAAAAAATTGGCGACGCCTAAAGGCTCATAAGGCGTTCTTCCTTAGCACGGCAGCATTGCGAACCCTTAGTATCGCCGCCTCGTAAGTTTGGTGCGCTTATAATTGAATGCGCGAAAACTGCTGATGTCCATTTTTCTAGTCTTTAGTTGTTTTGAGTTAACAATACTTTTCGAACTTGGATGCAACCACAAAAGTGGCGTAAAGAAATCAATAAGTATGCAAGTATGCAATAACTATGCAAACTTCGTGTTAAAAAAATAGAAAGGGAATGTGTTTGACTCAAACAAGTTTTTTTTCTCTCGTTTCGAGATGAAAAAAAGGAAGAGGAGGAAATTATTTACCTGTCAAAATCTGTCAGCCTTGAAGAATCACGGAAGCCTTTTGCAAAAGGATTACTGTCAATTTTCAATTTGGTTATCTGAAAAAAAAAAATTAGTTATCACAAGACATGAATAAAATTCCTTTACCTCAACCAAAATTGTCTTTGGTGAAAGCATAGGAGGGAAAATTAAAATGATGAAAACAGATTTTTTTTTCAATGTCGAGTTTGATAAATCTAAAAAGAGGAAAAGTATGCAGCTTCAATCGGTAATGGTGCGTCCAAAACCATGAAAAAAATACCAATTACAATCATTGTCAGCGCAAATGCACTTATGCACCGTGAATGAAAAAACAGTAAAATTCAAAACACTAGCGATTTTGTTAGTCGAGAGGACCTGAAATATTAGTATTATTTGCACTTGATACTTACTAATTGATTTTGATATGCTGTGACAGCCGTGAAAACACATTCGGGGAAAATATACGTCCTAAACTGTTCAGCCTCTAGGTCGACAATTGGACCACCATGGTCCCTCCATTTGACTAAATGTATTCTAGGTTGATATCTGTGCATTGAATTTAAAACAATCTGAAACAAAATAAGAAAAAAAAACGTGTTAAATGAGTAAAAGTGGCACTAGAAAAGCGGACAGTAAATGTGAAGTAAAAAAATAATGCGTATCAGAGCCATAGAATACGAAAAACGCAGGCGACCCTTCGATTGGGCAATATGTAGCGGGAGAAAATCATCTTCTTTGGGTAAAAGGAGATTTATTCATAAATTCTGCAAAATTCATTGTTTATTCTCATAAAAAATAATTTTAGCGTTGAAATATTAATTTGAAAGACTTAAAGAATATTCTCCTTTTTATTTAGTAGGAAAAAAGGTGAATTTAATCCAACACAATTGCCTTTGCTTTGATGCACTCCGCAAGGTGGTTAGTTTCTGCTTATTGTTGAAACAACTGAATTAAATCACAAGATGGAACCACTGGATCAGTTGCCTCCTGAGTGATTGTTTCAAAGAGGATAATCCATGAAAACAACGGAAAAGGATGTTTGGACCACATTTTGCAATAAGGAACCCCTATTTCTGGCTCATTATCGAAACAACTTATATCCCATCAGTTTCCCTATGCAGACAGGTGATTTTACAGAGGAGCCAGAGATAGTGGTTCCTTATTGCAAAATGTAATCCATTTACAAGGCGCCCCATACAAACTTTGCTGATCACCGAACGAGTGGATCCGTTTATTGCCGAAACACTTAGATTCCCTTTCGCTGAACTGCCCTAGTTGTCTTTTACAAGACCGAGAGCTTTCTCAATCGATGATTAAATGTCGGCAATGATCAGATGGCTCGACAAATACGCAAAGAGCGCAAGCAGGTCTTCTTGCATAATAAAGGAAAACGGTGGGAGGGGGGTGGATTAAAGGCGCCGAACGTGAGACATGGATCAGATAAGAGCTCATAAATTATCCGATGCCAATCAGAATTCGCGCCGGCGATGTTGGATCGGCTATTTTTTCTTCAAATAAATTAAGAAATAAAGATGGCAATATTTCCGAATGCGGGGGAGTGCTCGCACACGTTTCCGCAATTAGGCACTCCGATTTGGACCGCGCTGAGCAGAAAGGACCCAGGTCACATCCGCCGTTGCCAAATTTCAGCCGGTGATTTAATTCTTTACGAGAGAAGGGTAGTGTGGATTATTTTGAAAATTTTAGGGAATTTTTTGCACGATGTGAAGCAAATTCTGTAAAGTTATCAAAAGAATCCGCAGAACCGCTCTGCCGTACTAAGGACTAATGCCTTATAAGTATTCGAACGTTGCCAAATTTCCTCTCAGAAAAGATTTATTTTTTAAAATATGTTATGAATAATTTTCCTTGATATTTTCAGACACCTTAGATCAAATTACGACTAAAATACTCTGAAAAATTGGAAGGAAAGATTTAAAAATTTACCAGACAATTTTGTGATTTACCAAAGAAATTTTGCAGCATTTGAGGGTTCATACGGCGTTTTTCCTTAGTGCAGCAGCATTCTCCTAGTATTGTTCGATGAGATTTGGCAAGGACACGTGTGACTTAGTTTCTTTCTACCTAATTTAAGGATCGTCTTTTTCTCTCTGGCGAGGGCGGACTCTTTGCGACATCGCACAACTTCCGATCAAAAATATCGTGTACTTCACTCTCATGGATTGCGATAAAAAAATCACCCTTAGGGAACGAAAGGAGAGGAATCGGCGGAACATTCTCGTATGGTTTGATGTTGCCCTGAATTGATCATTACCTCGCTCTATAATATTACAATTTCGTGTTCGACACGAGTTTAGTGGAGATAATGACCCGATGTATAGCTTCCATAAAGACGAATGGCGTGTTTGGCACCTGGAGTAGCCAGTGGTGTGGCGTGCTTTGCGATATATCGATTGATCTGCCATTTAAATCTTTGGAAAAGGATCGATAAATGGGATGATCGCAACGAACGCCTTAATAATCGATTCTTTTCCATAGCTTTAAATGGGGAAATCGATAATCGATCGTTCACACCTCGCCACTGAGAGTAGCCACCGGGCTGATTTCGCGGCTTGAGATTCAGGCGAGATGGTAACATATTGTGACCCTGTGACGCCAAGAATGGGAAAGGCCTGCTGCCCGTTTTCAAGTGGTGTGCCTTTTTTAGTCAGGAGTAAACTAACCCGTATTTCAGCAATCAAAGTCAATTATAAGCCATGCAGCATGATGCAAGGATATTATGTATATTACTTTATTTACACTGCGGTGGGTTATGTATCATTTCAAATATCACCTAGAATTTGATGCTCCTAATGACCCATCCTAGGAAGGGTAGAAAGGTGATAGCCTCCTACATTTTGGCCGAATTGGAAGGCCTTAATCAGCCATTTTTAATAAATCGTAAAGCCCTTCAGGGCCTCTTCTAAATCTTGGTGCTGGCCCTTTTGAAAATTTGGAGCCAGTTCGTCGTTGGCTCTATCGATTGATCTGCCCTTTATATGTATGAAAAGGAGTCGATAAACAGGGTGTTCGCAAAGAACGTCTTAATAATCGATTCTTCACCATAGCTTCGAATGGAGAAATGTCGATACTCGATCATTCACACTGATCCACAGTCGCTAACTCAGGGAATAAGTTTCTTCGGCTAAATAAACACAGTAAGTAAACGATCTACAAGAATAGGTGATCACACGAATTTACACGAAGATTCAGCTGTCAAACGAGACCATAATAAACACACCAACGAAATTATCAGTGGCGAATCTTGTCCGATCGGGCCCCGAAAAAAAAAAAATGAACTCGTCGACGATTCGAACCCACCTCAATTTTGAAGCCTACCTCTTGGACACCTGCATCAACCTCTACCTTCCGTTGTTTGGAGATCGCGTGAGTCGGATGGGCAAAGGTGCCTCAAACCGATCAAAATTCACGGGTATTTTAATAATCGGAAACATCATAACTCGGCACAAACCTCTAATTTTTGCATTATGACGCTCCCCTCCCCCTCCATCCACCTCGCGACGCTGTCCCATTTTACTTCGGTGTGCACTCGAACGACTTATTAAAAAGAGCGTAAACGCCAAGGGGATGCGTGTATAGCTTGAGAGGTTTTTTTCAAAAAACTGTTCGTTTATCGCCTGCCTTCGTCGGCGTTCCTCGAGCTGCTATTATTGCCATTAATTAACACCTCTGTTTTGAGCCCCGCCTTTGCGCTTTTACTCTCCATGCGCCGGCATCCTAGTGGCGTGGCGCGCTTTGCGATGTATCGATTGATCTGTCATTTAAACCTATTGAAAAGGATCGATAATCAGGGTATACCTTAATAATCGATTCTTTACCAAAGGTTCAAATGGGGAAATATCGATAATCGATCGTTTCACGCCTCACCACTGCGGCATCCCATCCTGGCTGAGGGACTTCATTAATCTTTCGGTTGGCTGTCCTTCCCCCTTCGACCCCCCTCCCCTCCCCCTCTTTGCTTTTAATTAAAAGCGTCAGCGAATTTTAATTCCGACCGGCTGATAGTGAGTTTAAGACTAAAGAGTCGCGAGGTTGCCTAATTTCTGTTCAATTCCGGATTTTTTGCCATGCGAGATTGCTCGTTTCAAAGGTATTGGCAAGTTCCATACCGCCTCTGAATTTGAGCCTAAGATCTTTTCTCTCCGATAGAAATGCCGCCCTCTTTTGGGTACTTTCGCTGGATGCGCGCCTAGGAGAAACTCGTGGTTTGTATTCTAAAGGTTGGTGGAGTTGATTCGAGCCAGGTACCGCAATGTTAATTGTTTTTATGATTTAAGTTGAACTGGAAACCGAGGTGAGGGTTCAATCAAGGTGCCGCGATGTGAAGGGCTTTGTTTTTATCAGAGAATTACAATGTAGAAAAAGAAGCAGGTGACGTTAAAACCAGCAGTAAGTAGCAAAAAAGAGAGAAAATAAATTTCGAACTACGGAACTTTCCAGTTTTTCTGTTTCGTGATTAATTCTGCTCGGGAAAATTAACGCCTCAAAACGTGGAGGCAATCAACTTTCGGGACTCAAAGTAGATGGTTGAAGCACGGTAGACTTGCCATTCAGCCGATACATTCGTAAAAAACCATTCTTCGACTTCGAGCACGGTCAAAATTTTAGGAGAGCCAAAAAACCACCTCATACGTGACCGCCTTAGTTGAAACACGATCCGCTCTCTTTCCGGCGTTCATTTGGGCCGCGGCTCCAGTTAATCCGTGAAGCCCCGGTTCCACAGACAGCGCGCGACGCAAAGTCACCCGCGCGAAATCATCCATATTCGATCATTTTAAACATTTTCTTTACCACAAACCTTATTATTTATCGATGTGTGTTTTTTTTTCTTGGTCCTCGCTATATCAGTAGTGTTAACACTCAATTTAAAAATGATTACTTTTGGTAGCACGACCTACTTCGCGTCGTAGGCTGCCGGTGGAACCGTGGCTTCGGCGGTGACAGGGTCCTCGCCCGATCGAACTCGTATAATTTTTTCTCACCTCCGTCCTTAATTCATAATCCCCCGAATTTTGTTTTACCGGTCGGAGTGTGTGAAAATTCGAGGGGGCGATTAAGCGGCGTACATGCGGGTACCTTCGAAAAGGTGGCGCAGATGAGGATACGCGATAACGGTTCCGAGGCGAGAAGGGAGTGTTGTCATTACACAGATAGAATCTAAGGACGAACGGCCGGCCGAGGGTGGGTGAGGCCGGGAGGGGGGAGGGGCTGTGAGGGTGGCAGTGGCGGTAGGATGCCCCCGGGGGAGGGGGGGGGGCTCAAAGCCCGGCTAATCTTTTGGGCGATGCGCCTCGCGACATTTGGGAGACGTGTTGTCGTCTGGCTTTCATAATCACCTCTCCGTACAGCGCACGAGTCGCCAGATTGTCTTTGAATGCACTTCTAGGCAGTGAAAATGCTCAGGCATTCTCATCGATTTGTTGCAGTCCAAAGGCACATCGAATTTTCAGAAAATATACTCTAGAACAATAGAAAATACAATAAATGGCCCTCATTTTATTGACTTCAGATTTAGAGGCATACCGATTTTTAAAAGTTGATCTACAAT